AGCACCCATTTACTCTACCTAATCTAAAAAGGTAGAACCACAAAAGAGATTTACACACTCGAGGTGTGCAAGGTGAGATACGGTCACAAACAAACTGTAAGACACTCGACTACTGCAGTGGCAGTTCTGCTCAGTTCTTGTCAATTGAAAAAAAAAAAGAGTGAAACACCACCTTTTTACGCCCCTATACGGCCGGAAAACTATTTATACGCCGGGAAAATTTTTAGACGCGGTAAAACGACTAATACGCCATTTAAGGCGCTAGCGTCTTAGCGCAAAAGACCTCCCAGGATATAAGACACTTGACGTCGACTGATGGGGGAGACGTCCTTCCCCTCGTACGAGACTAGTCGACGACCCGAGAGTCTTCTCCCCTCCTTTTCTCTCCGAGGCAGGAGGCACAAAATAAGAATATACTAATATATCTCAGGTAATAAGTAAACAAAATTTCGAGTTATTTATTGTTTCTTCTGGAAACTGGCCGTGAAAAGATGTTAAAACAGGCCTTCTAAAGTTGAAATTATTTACAACTGGGCCGCTTTTCTAAAGACCGGGCAAAAAGTGGGGGGAAACTATTCTGCACCCCGTGCAACTGTGTGTTGGAGCATAAGAGAAAATCGACGGTGACGAACCACTTTGATTCATTCAAACATTCGAAAATGCTTTCTGCTGCTACAAGAAAGCCAAACAACTCACGTTCACCGAGGCATCAACCTCCAAAACCCTTTCGAGGGCTACAAGAAACGAAGTGAGTTGCCTCCAAGATTGAAGCTGGTCAGATAAAGAACGAGTAAATGAAAACAGAATGAGGCGGAGAAGTGTGTTTGTGTGAGATTAAAATAGCCCAATTGCTTTTACAATAAATAAACATTGAATGTGTTTAATTGAATAGTAAAGGGGTTTAATGTTAGTGGCAGGTTGTGTGTGAGAGAGAATAAATAAGACAGCCCAATATTTAAAAAAATTGTTATTCTTTTCCCCCGCATATTTCGCAACTTTCCGCATATTTCGCAACTTCCCGCAATTTCACCGCATAAAATCACATAAAAATCCCGCATGTTTAATCGCATAATCAAGGATTTTAGCCTGCATAATCAAGGATTTTTGCCCACGTTTTTCTGGAGGGTCTAGAATCAGCCCTTGCAAAAACAGGGCTGGAAAAGAGCAAATAGAGCGAAATGAGGCATGGCTAAAATGCAGGATCTGTTTGGTATTTTGAAAAAAAAACTTCAGACATGTGTTTATATAGGCATGGCCCTACAATATATTATTCAAATATAGCATGATAGGTGCCGTATGAGAAGTCAGATCACTAAATAAAAAAAAATCATTCAAATGATAAACATCTCTCTGGAGTAAGCTTAATGATTAAGCAGTCTCTGACTAACCAAACATAAAATGCAAAAAGGTCTGTGGAGTCAACAAAGTGCAGGGTGAGGCATATTTGTCCCTCTTGAATTTGGATAGGAGTGTACACGAGCACAACGTGCAGCACATGAAAGGCTCTGTGTAGTCTTCAGAGGACCATACAGTAATTTGTATTTATTTATCGAGGCCTGCTCGGCTCTATCTGAGCACACAGTGGAATCTTAGTCGGAGCGCTGAGTCCATCTTAATACCAAGTGACACTCAGCCAAATGTGTGACCCTCTGTTAAAATATGAAATGAGGACAATGTGTGTTTGTGTTACTAATAAAGATTTGTAACGAGGCATTTTGAGGACATGAACATCGTCAATAACAGCGGAGCATTTTCTATATTTATAATTCTAGTTATGCTCACCCTGAATAATGAATCTTTCCCATCTGGAGCAGTTCACAGCTAATTAACGAAGAAGTGGTGCCAGGGCAGAGTAGTGGATCTGACGCAGGCCCAGTGAGTGATTCAGCCCGTCTATAAAGCTAAGGACCCATCCATCTAGGATTTATTGACAAAGTGCTGCCACACTGACTTCCAAATCACTGATGCATCATGAGTTGATTAATTGGGGTGGGGGTAACAGTGAAGATCAGTTAATGAAACTGCTGTGCAAAAAACAAACAAAAAAAAAAAAAACCCCTCTTACACTTCCTCTGTAGCAACACGCATGTAGTTTTATCTGTCAAGATGAATTTTAATTACCCTCCAAAGGAAATTGTAAATGTCAATTGCTTGTGCATGTCGATTTCTTAAGTTATGTTGCATCTATAGGCGTGTGGGGGTCCCTGTGGGGAGGTCTCGGTTTGACACCACTGCTCCCCTTTTAGCTGATCCGACTCGCTGCAGACTCGCCGAGCACCGCAACTCACTAGAGCAATCTGATCAAACCTAGCTCCATCTGCAGTCACTCTCAATTAGCCGCGTTGCTAGGGATGAATATGTTTGGAACAGCTGCTGGAGTGTCGAAATTCCCCTCAAGGGGGAACTCTCTATGGGTTGATCCCAGCCATCAGAGAAAGTTAAAAGTTGTCAGCATTATAAGGGAAGACGGGAGATAAGAGCAGATTTCCAAATGAATGAACGCCGATTATCTCGCTGTCTGTTACACAGTGACATGTGGGGGGTGGAACAATGCAGCTAACTGGAATCGTTTGTGCTCACATTAAAAGATTAGCTGCTTGAACTCAGTCAGTAATGTTCTATATACAAATGTATTATGTGCATCTATAATGTTAGGTTAAGTAATTGCACGACACATCAATAAACCTAAAGGTCATTCAAAGGCTGTTTTCAACTAGTTTATCTGCATTACGATTACATCCTCCTCTACTTTCAAATGGGTTCTTCATTGGCCAATGCTACACCCTTCCATCAAGAAAATCTAACCAGTAGTTCTTCCGTAATCTTTCTGACAAACAAACGGCGATACAAATATTCCCTCTTTGCTGGATGTAATGTGTTTTCATCCTGCTTTCTTGACTGTGGCAGCGTCATGTCTTTCTTTAACGATAATGTCCTCACCGCCTAATGAAATTAGCACTTGAAAAAACATTATGATCCCAGTGTCCTCCAGATTTATCAAATAAAGGGATGTGCATGCATGCAATGGATCTATTAAATTAGGATTGCAGCCAACGTGATGTGTTTAGTGAAGTGGGAGGTTGAGCAGGAAGAGGCTCTTCATATTAACACGGGGAAATGGCAGCCATTACGCCAGAAAAACCCAACATTAGTGGCTGCATTAATTGTCTGAATGTATGCAGACAACCTGCGCTCGGAGCCATTGTGCATGCATGAACAACCTTTCTACTCTCTGTGGGGGTGTTCCATTAGGAACCTCACAGGCCAAACGCACAGGAAGAGAGAATCCACTAACTGAGCCCTGAGCTGAATCTAAAGCCGCTAGTTAGGGAGCGAGGTCGCCCCTGAAATACAGGTCACTCCCCCAGCTTCCCTCCTTCCTTTCCTCTCCATTCTGTCCATTATTGATAAAGCACCACTCACTCATAGTCCTCTGTACGCTGTATTGGTGTTAGTGAGTGCATTTCTGAGTGCTGCACTGCATCCCCTGATCCCAGCAGCTGAGGTGCATTGTGGTATTTACCACAGCTGTCTGCAGGTATTTGGAAACTATGGAATTCCATTCAGGTGAAATTAAATACTGCTGGCTCGATATAAACGATGCCTCTGTGGATTTAATTGGCTCATAAAGCACCATGAGAAGCTGTCATCGGATATTGACATTTTGAGAACTGTCTTCATTGTACATAAGGTCCATGAAGCTGATACAATAACTACTCGAGCAAGGTGAAGGAAGTGAATGAATAGTTACCAGCCTTTCCTTCAAAAGGACGTGAAGCTGGGTATGGCCGTGTGTCTTGGCTATCTCAGTGGGAGTGTGTCCGTGGCGGTTGGCGGTGTGCAGCGCTCGCTCTGCCCCGGGACACTGCAGCAGCACGCTGGACACGCTCCTGAAGCCATACTGGGCAGCAAAGTGGAGGAGTGATGGGACATCTGAATGGTGGAGCTCTGATGTGGATATTTTCCAGTTTAAATGAGAAAAACACTTTTTTTAAAATTCACAATCTATACATAATATTCCCTTTCAACTTCCTTTACATGTGCTATCTTGAAGTTGACCTAATGTGAACGATTTCACACAATCATGAGTGGAAGACAGCTCGGAGGCACTTATTGACCCCTTTTTAGCAGTTGAGAATCAATCTCAGGAGCTGATGAAGCCATCAATCTGCCAAATAATGAGCCAATAAATGATGGAAGTGCGTCATGCAAAAGTAAGGCATTTCAACTGTGAGAATTACGTTCATTACACATTGTTGCATAAACACATGCTCCGGGAAAGGAGTGAATTAACATCTGTTGTTTCAAGGCTTTTATATCAATGATGCCAAAGCCATACTTTGAAGTAATCGTCACCTGTTACTCACGGGTAGATCTGCAATTAGTGTTTTCATCCCAGTTAGAGACTGTGTAAGTACATTTTGGGGGATTATACCTTACTGTATATCCGTTCATACTGCAATTGATGCATGCTTGGCACTTCTCCCAAACGTTTGAGATAGTATCTTTGCATATGTATGCCAATCATATGTTGTTTTGTTCAATGTCAGTCCACAATCCTCCAGTTGTATACCTCTCTGGGGTGTGTTTTCACACTGCAGTCCCTGAAACCCTCCGTTGGGCATGTGCTTTAACAACATGGAGGTTAACTTCTGGTCCAAATTCTGCACAGAAGACTGCTGAAGAGCCTGAAATGAAATCGAAGCATATCTCTGACTGTAAATTGATGAGTAAACAAAAGCAGCACTTTTAATGGTGCCATTATAATTGTATGGTAAAATACAGTCTTCAGGAGAAGCTATAGAAGTTTAACATGCATCAAAGTCCAGTCATGTCAATCCAGGCTTTTAGTTTGAAATCCTTTTGGCTAATTCTTATTTTGGCATTGCTCATGTTTGCCTCTTCAGCAAAAGAGACCATAATCAAATGAAGTGTTCATGGCAGAAAGAGACCTGCCCTTTCATTTTTCGAGAGCTGAGGCAGTAAACAGTGGCGTACATAAACATCAGCAGAAATATGCGCATCCAATTAATTTTCTGTTTCTTTCTAATGGCTGGAAGTGGATTGATTATAAGCAGCGTTTTAGAGCGGCGATTGCCTAATTTCTATAAATGCGTTGCATAACGATGAGTCACTATAATACAGAGTGCCTCAGAAGAGGCGCTTTCCTCAGAAGGGAGAGAATAGAGCAGCATTCAAATGTGTTTCCTGCGTAACAAAATCAATGGTTGATAGACTTATTTCAATATATTTGCAAGTGTTAGAGCTTTAAAACTGAGGTATGCACACTGCTTGTTAAAAAAAAATGACAAATGGTAATATTACTTGTTACAGAGAGTAATATTGCACAAATAAGATTTAGAAATATTAATGTACATCTTCATAATTTGAATACCTTCTATAAAAGTGTTCCATTTATACAAACAGTGTCTTTTCAAAATAACTTCCCACTACAAAACTGCTTTATTAGGTTTAGAAAGAAGTGTTTTGGCTTTTCTTTTTCTTGCAAACTCTATGTATGCAGCATACAGTCGTAGCATAATTTCACTCATGCACATAAGTAGAAAATATACACGTTAACCTTACAAATAGCAGCCTTCTGTCTAAAAGTCCTGTGCTTTTCACCCATCCATCTACCTTACACCTCCCTGTTAAGCCGACTTTTCGCTCTTTATGATACGTCATCTGATTCCTCTCTGCCCCAGCCATAGTTACAGACATTTTTTGAAACCCAGGGCCGCTGACCAGGCTGCTGTATTTGACGCTTCGGGACTGAGACCAGGCTGATTTATTTGTTTGCCCCTCCCTGCCTGGTGCTTTTCAAACAGCCCTTTTAATGGCTTTACCTGACACATGAAATCTACAGGGTCTGCTGCCCTCGCCAGAAGGCAGGTTATTTCCTCCATGTTGCTGTAGTACTGCAGCTGTGCCTTGCTCAGTGGCACCCCATTGCTATACACAGTCACTCTCACATGTCCTGCTGGAAGATCTGCAACAGAAAACATGAAGAAACTTAACACAGAAAAGCCCAAAACACACTGTAGATTTTATTGTACACTCATTATGTCATGGCGCGTGTATACCTGGCGCATTGACACAGAGGATCCGTTCATTCCAGCAGACGGGCTTCACTCTCAGCCTCTGATTGTCAGCGGTGAACTCAACCTCAGCGTCGCTGCCAGCCGACTCATTTTTCAAAAGAATGAACACTTCCGTGGAGCTCTGCCAAAGAGACAGTACAGTGAACTGCAGTGCAGTCAATTTTAGGGATGCTTTATGAAAAAAATAAATGGCTTACTACTGCCTGAAAGCCTCACCCCACAGGGAACTCTGGAGGGAACAACAGCCATGGAACTGACACTGCGGGCTGCAGCCTTTCGCTCCGATAGCCCACGTATCAGGGGTTTGACATTTGCAGTTGAAGCTAATGCACCTACAAAAGATGGGACATTGGACATCACAATTGATTATGCACTTGTGCATTGTACAAAATGGGTTTCTGATACTATAAGCTAGCCAGGTCTATTTTGAGGCGTGCTAGCATCATGAAGGAGCATATCAAAGTTAAATTCCTCCTCAGAATGAAGTGCACTAACTAATCCCTTAACTTTGTTATCTAGCACAGTTATCAGGTCAACATTGTAATGGTTTATTTGTACCTGGAAAAACAAATGACATTGCACAAGCTAAAGTCAGATTTAAAATAGTTAACATATCACCTGCTAAGATTTATAACATTGTCAAACATCATACTTGCTTGCGTACTAACATTCGTATTGCTACTGCATTCTATGTGTTAGCCTTAGCTCAACACACTTTTGTTTCTCAGTAGCCCTACAGTATTATTATTATTAAATAATAACAAAACCTCGAGAATAATTAAAATCTAAAGGTAATTATTTGATTAAAACAAGAACAAAGCAAACCAAGTTTACAAGTAAATAAGGTTTATTTACGTTAAATCCAAAACTCTTTTATAATTAACATTTTGAGTGAGTCAAATAAAATGATACCAATAATAGTATTGTTTCTGTTGGTGTAGTGCCTCTTGCATTGATGAAGTGCACGGATCTCCACCTGTTTACACTTAAACACCCACATGTCTGTTGTGTGCTAACAAGCAAACAGCATCATCCTGTGTGAATAGGGAGGGTACTTCTGGGTTAAAACATAACTGTCTGTTGGATCCTGGCCTGAAGCACTTTCACTGTATCAGTGCAATGAAGTGACGCAGAGTGCACTTGAATTTGCATGGCTCACGAAGAGTAACAGTGATGGCCAAAGAGGAAAGAGAGACTATTTGCATCAGATGTTCCTCCTGCACATGCACCTGTTTAAATAGAAGTGTGTGTGTGCGCGCGCGCCCCCCCCCCTCGTTATGAGTTTATACAAATACTGCAATTAGGAAAAACAGGGAAAAGGCCGGGGATAATTGGCCGGGTGGAGGGGACATGCTGGAGATGCTTAGTCTGTGCGGCTGGTGCTTTAAAAATATGAATGCCAATCTAAACAGTGGGTAAAAAAAGTCAGTAAACAGGTTTCCTAGCTGCTGCTGGGACATTCTCACAAATAATGAGGATTGTTTTCCCATCGTATTTATAGCAGGGAATGGTGCGGCTGTGTACAAATATTCCTAAAGGTTTCCTTTTTTCTGGCTTTGCACGGATGCAAATTGTGCCTAAATTACAGTTTTACTACATGCTGTCAGGATATTTGAATGTAAAATTCCTGAATTCATTTGGCTGTAATGGTCATTACATTTAACTGGGTAAAATAATACCTAAATAAGATATGTGGGGAAAATAAAACAATAATCTGAATTTGCAATTAAGTAACCTTTTGGGTACCGGTTAAGTCAAATGAAAGGGCATTTATCTTTTGCACTTACCTTCCTTTTTTTAAATAAGTCCAATTACACAATCATATGCAAGGCAGAATTCTTCTCAAGACAAAATCTTATTATGATGAGACAGTTTTATATGCATTGGTCAATTTTGTGAGTTAGGGCATGTCTTCAAATCGATCGAAAATATCCAATTACACATTTAGATGCTTATATTATTGTTATCTTAATAATCAACTTGCGAAGTTTCATGAGGATATCTATTAGTTAACATGTAAACCTGGAGTATCTCCCCTTACAGCTAGTCAGTCAAAAACTTTTCAGAGCCATTGCCCTACCTTTTTTCACAATATCAGTGACAGCGGACAGGTACTCGTGAGCATCTTGTTCACTGGAGACCTGCAAGCAATCGTCTCCGTTCAGAGGGACCTGCTCCAGCAGGGGGGCCAGGCTCTCCACCCCACACAGGAGCACCACCACAGCAGTCGCAGGACACAACACACGGGCCAGGAAGAAACGGCGCTTCGGACACAGCCCCTCCAGCATGCCCTCGGAGAGGATGAGGAGCTTGCAGGAGTACTGGGACAGGCGGAGGAAGTCGTCCTGCCGGCTGGACACAGTGGCGATGTCGTAGGAGCAGATGGAAGCCTCTGAGAGGGAACCAGTGAAGAGGGAACGCAGATATGTGGCCCATTGCTGTGCCTCACACTCATAGATGATCAACAGCTGCTCAACTACGAGAGAAGTGGATTCAACAGTCAAGATATTTGTATCTCAGGTTGTTCCAGCACAATCATGAGAAACGCTTTTGCAGGCAGGCTCTACTGAAGTCAAACAATCAATGGAAAATACAACATAACAATATAAGAAGCGTGACAGAAAAATTATAAAAAGATTGCCTTCAAATTGATAGAACACATGCAGTAGTTAGATTGAATCATATCTCTCAAGTATATTATGAAAAAAAGTACAGATTTACAGAAAATACTTTTTGCTATCACTTTTTTGCAGCATATTTAAATGTAACATACTGTGAGATGTGATAATGTGAGAAACAGTGAACCGTCATAACCAATTTTGCTTTGATATTGAAATAATACAAAAAAAAACATTTTTCAATGTTTTTAATATTGTTCCAAGATGTATTGTGCCCATCAATATGTTGCTCTGAGCATTGCAGACCATTATAAATCAGCAACGCTCATATTAAAGCAATGGATCATTTTCATTACGGCATGTGATAAATGAATAAATAAATAATTCAAAGGGACAGCTTACCTGCGTGGCTCATGGCTCAGCGCTGTTTGTCTGCAGGTCTTCCTTCACACTGACAGGGGGAACAGTCTGCTATTGTCAAGAGGAGCACTGATAAGAGGGAGTTTCCTGCTACACCTTTATACACATGGAAACAAAACCTCATTTAAACTAACGTCGAGCCTGTTCTCTGGTCTGGTACAAGGAAGAAGTTTGGATGTCAGCCTGTTATTCAAACTTTACTACAGCACTAGTTCCATGGCAGCGATCCTAAGTCATTTAATCAGTGGAATTAAATGTACTGCATGTGATGGAAAATCCCCAAAACTGATTCTGCGGTTTGGACATCAGAAGCTTGTCCTCCAAGTTTAGTTTTGCTTTCAACATGTTGCTACGCAAAACGATGAGTTATAAATGTCTAGTCATTAAAGAATGTCTAAATAATGTTTATTAACTGAAAAGGTTGGCATACGTGGTTTAAAAAGGTCTCTGTTTGTATAAATATGTAAGTTTGGTGGGGATTTCTTTCCTCATTATACTGTGTATATTTTTTTACAGATTAAAAACTACCAATGCTGCAGTGAAATTGAAATGGAAACAGACGACACACCCAAAATAACAAATAAAGACAACCATAGCTTATTATTTTATTCCATGGCATTTCAAATACAGAGTAGGTCTTCATGTGAGCAAAACACAGCAAATAATAAACACAAAGGTCGCTGGTGACAGGTGATCAGTAGGAGGAAAAACTTGAGTCACAGACTTGCCCGAGTTTAATTTAAGTCTGCAGAGCAAAAGAGTGCAAAGCACGAGGAATGTTAAAACTAATGATCTGGTGTGAATGTCTCAGCACAGGCAGATACAAAGACTAGGATGTTCTGACCTATATGCATACCCACAATGTTAAAGTCGGAGCTTCATTAACTGCCTCCATCTGTCGAACAACTGACTCATACCACACCAGCGTGTCGCTAATAGCCGATTGCCACCATTTATTGCCTTTGGGCAGCAGTGTGTTAACTGAATTGCGCCACTGTGGAGAAAATGAGCGGGTGTAAGCTGAGGTCTCCTTCAGGCGAATGTACCTGGTGATGACTCACTTCACCTCGCTCACATTTTCTCTTTGCCTAGTCTGATCCAACCCCAAAGACAGGAAGCTAAACCCTCCTCTGGATCTGCAGTGAGTGCAACTTGACCTCAGTGAGTGAGATACGTTATCATCATCATTGTAAGCAGAACTGACACTGCACCTCTGGTCCTGAGGGGGGCACTAGAGGAAAAGTATTTGAGAATTAAAATGAGAAAGAACAGCAGGTCACTGAAACTCTCAGGATTCATCCTCTGGGAACTATGAAAATCATTAGCAGATTTCATGGAAAGGTTCCTTTCCATGAAGAGGTGGAAATAGCTCGCTAAGATTGGATAAAATATTTATAAAGGTTTGTGGTAGCCTGATCTACAGAAGTCGATTTTGACCAGTAAAAGACAAAAAGTTAGTTATGGCAAACATTTAAAAAAAAAAATATTTACCATGTCATTATTTAGTATTTTTATTCTTAGGATTTTGAGTTAGTATCTCAAGGTTTTGCCTTTTCATCTCGTCTAATTATCTGAAAAATATTTAGGTTTTATAGATTGTGTATCTCATAAAGTTATTATATATCTATTAAACTTGACATAATTCAGCTTAAAGCTAAATGTTAATTGATCAAAGAAGGTCTTGCCAAAAAACTGCAGTTGAAAAACCAACTGGCTTACAATGGCACATTTAAATAAATGTTCATAAGAGTGTATTGTTGTAATATATATGCTTTGCTTTGGATTGGATGCAGCAATACACTATGGCTTGATCCTTTCCTTCATTTGAATCTGGCCCGAGGCTGTTTGTCAGATGTCAGCTGCTTTTTCTCCCCTTTACCGAGATTTTCTGCTGTATTTCTATTCCTAATTATCCTCTGTTTTCACTTTCATCAGTTTTTTTCTGGACAAAATAGGCTTCCATATATTTATATAGATAGACCATGTTGTGCTTAATGTAATATAGTATCTGCTTTTGTGGACATATTACACTAAAAAAATTATTTGGTTTAGCATTTGTTGATTCAATATGTATTATGCTTACCCAGCTCCAAATATGATACAAGTTAGTAATACAGTTATTCACTCAAGGCCAGACTGACACAGGAACAGCTCTTCGATGAAAGTGAAGGTACAGTTGCAGCTCTCCGCCAATATAAATCGTCGCTGTGATTTGGGGCGGGTCCTGCGGGTTAGCATGTTTGACTGCACACTGCGCTCAGACAACTTGATACAGAGTAACAGTAAATCAGACAGAGCAGCTCCTACAGCACCAGCAGTGAAATTGTAACCCTGTTGCAAGTATTTTTGGCCGCTGATAGAACCGAGTGAGATCACTGCGGTCTCTTTTCTCGGATAGACTCAAGAGTTGTTCGGCAGGAGCAACGTAGGGACCGTTTTCTCATTTCTGCTATATCTCAATATTATACCACACTGGAAATGTCCGAAAACAAGCCGAATGATGAACCGAAGTTATCTACGACGGACAGGGTGGTGAAATGTAAGTGTCATTTTTCATGCCACAGCTCTGAGCAGCACTTGAAGAATTCACGCTCGTAGCAGCAGCAGAGATGTAGACGAAAATTGTTTGCTGGCCATGGAGGAAGAAGGGTGTTAGCCGAGCTATGACAGCAGCAGTAAACTAGGAAGTGAGGCTAACTCCACTTTGTGGACCAGAGCAATATTTTTTCTAGAAATGTGTCACATTCTGGCTGTCCGCTTGTCTGTACATGCACTGTTTTCATTATTGAGCCAGCAGTTTGCCAGATGCATGCTCGTTTTGGTTCCTCACAGCGTTACAGTATGCATGCAGATATGGCACAAACAGTGCATTCAAACCTCTGGGCGATTTCCCCTCATGCATCACCAAGCATACTTTTTACCAGGGCTCCTTTTTTTTTTTTTTTTTTTACCATTGCATAATACTGCTGGATGTCGCCTATAACGTAGTATGATGGAGCTATTGTGTGCCTTCAGTGTTCATGCCATATGTGCTGCTTCTTCCTGCCTGTGCATTTTACTGGTCTGACATTCCACCTTTGCAGTGTACCATAATAATGCAGTAAAGATCATAATCAAGTGGACCTACCCCTCAGCAGGAGCAGTGCAGCCTGCCCAGTTTCATGTCATCTTATGTTGACATAAAAGGCAGCACACTTAAAGTTGCAGTGTTAAAGCCAATGTCTGTTAGAATATGAGCACTTTATGTCCTTCCAATTTCTTATGCTGGAAGGCAAACCCGAAGCCTTCCCTTAGTTCGATTTAACATGACATAATGTGTTTTTATGCTTGCTGGTTGTCATCCAGCAGCACTAGTTGCAATGCATTATCCTCGCCCGCTCCAGTACACCACAACAGGCATGTGCAGCCATCAGTGTGTGGAGGGAATCGTTGAGTAATTTTATTCAGGCTCAGATGCAAAGGTTCAACCAGTTGAAGTGATTAGATCATTGGTGACCATTCAACATCAATATTCTGCTGAGAAAGGCAGCGCTACAGTGTTCAAAAGCCCATGACTGGAATCATTGACTTTATTAAAGACAAGCCTGAGCTCTGCCTCGCGCTGTATTACATATTTATCATTGATTTCATTAGCTAGTGCCATTTGAAACTGAATGAATGTTCAACAAAATGATAAGTCTTCTCTGTAGCGAGTCCACAGCTAACCAGTTGTGTTGTGGCTACATTTTGCTCAGGAAAAGGGGTTCAGAGTCACAGCAGGTCTCTTCTGTGATGAATATTTCAAGAGATCATCCCCCTACATTCTCCACCAACTTGAAGGCTAATGAAAAATAGATTTGACAAGTATGGGTTTTTTAAGAGATTTAACATTATCACTGGGAGACTTGGCCGGTCGTGTTGGATCTGAAGCTACTTTTCCCTTTGTCACACTGAGGAGATGCCATCGTACTGCACCTCCTGACTCTGTATCCTCTGCTCTACACTCAGGGAAGCTCTGCTATTGGCTTAATCAGGTTAAAAAGAATCGATTTACCATTAGAGACGCTGTCAGGGAATCTTGAGAGCTCAGATTCTAGGGCTCAATCTCAAACCTGATGTTGAGATCAGCAAAGTAACTCGTTACAGTTTGGAGAAGTCTGTGTTTTGGTAATGCATCAGTATTATGACAACACAGACGCTGGCTGTGTACAAAGCACCTCTCCAAAATAACTGCAGGCTATAGGTGTGAAGTCATTTGTTTTCAGCTGCCTAGTTTGCCCTGCTACAGGTTTTCAGTCCAACTTATCAGAAGTGCTTTGCATCCACCTGTTTTCAGAAACATTATCATAATGCCTCTGCCGCAGAGTAATTGCTCATAAGAGTGTAATCAGCTGAGGCAGGAGAAATTGCGTAATCTTCAGAAAGATGGATTGAAGCTGAAATATGAGCAATTTGGAACATGAAGCCGTTCTGTTTCATGAGCTCCATCAGGTGCATGTTAGCCAGTGGTTTAATGTTGTTTTTAAAAAGCCTGCTCACACCTCTGTTGACTGTTGCATCTGGCTAAACAGCGTTTAAGCTAGGATTAAGTTACCCAAGCAACAATCCTGATATCATGACGTCTTTTGTCTTTTTCTTTAACTTTCATAGATGAATTGATGAATCTTTAGTTTTATACATTGTATTAAAATAGTGAAACATTTCCATCCAACTTTCTCCAAAGTGATGTCTATTAGTGTTTTGTTTCACTTTAATAGGATATAAATCTGCAACTTTCTATATTGGGGCAACAATTGGAGGATTTTCACACAACTATTATTTCAACAATTAATCCATTATTTAATCATTATTCTGTCAATTGCCAAATGGATTAGTTGACTAATTATTTCAGCTTTGTTGTCAATTTATCTTTGGTCCATGAATTGTCAGAATACAGTATAACATTTAAGAAAATAATTTCAAACCAAATTTAATAAAATAGTTTTTCTTTTATTCACAATCCAAAACCCCCAAAATAGTTTAGTTCAATACTAAATCTAATCAGGAAAACCAGATACACAAACTGTTTCCCCGCACTT